TTCACAATACACTTTTCATCAACAACCTTTTACATAAAAAGGATTAGATTAAAGTGTTAAAACAGGTTTGCAAATTATATTAACTTGATTTAAGGAAAGTTCTTCAAATGTACTGTTCCAAGAAAAGGTTTCTGCACTTTTAGGCAGCATTTTAAATGTGTTTTTTTGGCATGGACCTGGCACTGGATTTGATTTAATTTATTCATTTATTTCAAACACGTTTTCAAAGTAAGAACTGCTAAAGCATATTCTTGACATCTTTTTACAGTATTGTAGGTAGGACTTTGGGAAGATTATTCCTAAAGCCCAATGTTCCCTGATTTTTTCATTAAAAATCAGTCTACTTGCTGAGATCATATTTTTTATATTTTCAACACCCAATTGTGTCTATCAATGAAATCTTCCACCTTAAATGAAAGAAAATGTATTAGGATGTTTAAGAACAACACAGTGAAGTGAGTTCAAATTCAACATGGACTGAGAAAGAGGAGCAAAATGTGCGCCTTGAAGATCAATAACAATTTGCACTTGACCACAAACAACAAAAAACCTTTCTGGAAAAGGTTTACAATCTAACGAGACAAAACCTAAGCTAATCAGCAGCCAAAACAAGGAGCATTGGGTATGTTTAGAGGAGTCCAATGAAGGGTTTTAATCCAGAAAACTATAGCAGCTGCAAACCAGAGGTGTGTAAGAAAAATGCTTGGAACTGTTATGTTGCAAAAAGTTGGACAAATATTATAGACAAAGAAGTAATTCCTAATTCCTCTATTTCCAGCTGAAGGTGGTTTGAACCTAGCTAATGTTAAACTTTGGTATGCCTGTACCTCAATCCTATTAGCATTTCTCTTCCTCCACAATTATGTAGAGTATTTCCTTCAGTTTAGCAGTGAAGTTGCTCATGTTATGGACAGGTGTGCCATTTATACTAATCTACATAACGTCATTAAAAGTGCTGGCTTTTAAAATGTGCACTGGCAACGAGCCAACTCATCCATTTATTCATTAGCACAAAAGGTTTTGGAAAGAAATTAAACAATTTGATTCATTAAGTGATATAACAGTTTTACACTTCTGTTTTAACCCATTTTATGAGGCTACTTTTTCAACTCCTCAATAGCATTGCGTAAGTTTTCCCTCAGGGCAGCATGATGTGAAAGAGAAACGTAAATAAGACCAAAAAACAGCAGCATTAGCAGCAGGGTTTACGGTGCCACTCAACCTCATTACGCACAACAACAAACCCTTCCTGTAGCTATCGAACAGCAGACAATGGGTGAAACATTATTCACAGATCATTAACGCAGACCAGAAGTTTTGTGGCGATTAATGTCATAGATGGATATCATCAATTCAGAAAAAAACATGATTCTGAGCATTCTTGATTATCTAAATTTACAAAAGGCTTTGTTTGTATTTACCACATCAAGGGTTGCAGAAAAACAACACACTAGCAATTACTAATAGTTTTATTTTAATGGTTGTACAAGAATAATTTCATTTTGTTGTAAAGCTCAGATATCTTTAAGTCATAAAACATTTTTTATTAAATGAACACGTCTTATTTACAAATTAAAGTCAAATGGGGACTGAAAGCCGACAGTATTTTTATTAAGAAGAGAGAATAATAACTAACAGTATTTACACAAAGCAGCAACTTAACTGACTTTATTTTCAAGCTAGTTTGAGTTTGGGGCAAAATGCAATTAGAGTCATAAAGCATGTGTGGCCAACCATTTATTTGCTGTCACATTTCAGGGGAAAATAAGTTTGGATGTCCCAGCTCTTTTAATTACATTCATTAGTTTTACATTTGCACTTTTGGCTTAATTTTCTCAAAAGCTTTTTATGGAATTAACATAAATGAGACTTCGAAATTTAGAGTGAAAACATAAATTTGCCTCAACCCACTAAAATGTCATTCGGTATTAATAAAGGTACAGCTGCTTCGAGTCATAAGTGACACTGTGTTCTTATGTAGCAATTAAGAACTAAAACTGGACATCTATGTATTAACATATGATTGTGGTATTCTGTTTTACTAATTTGCCAAGTTAACGACTTAATAAGCATTAAATATAATGTAAAATAGCTATTAACTGTCTCATAACTTCTTCTTAGAACCCTTTCTCCAGAGTTCACTGATGCATAAGAGCAAGCCTTCTTATGCGGTGAACCTGGATTCATGCTGAATTGATTTTCCCTTTGGATTTGTGTTTTCCGAGTCAATGTCACCCACTGAGCTGTGAGGAGTTCGTGCACCACCGTAATGAGCCTGATGATGTGAATCAATCTTCTGGTTTCTCTCTGTGCTTTCAAGTGTTTCTCTGAATTTCTGGAAGAATAATTAATTGTTTCAGTTACCATTCACTGAAAAAAAAAAAAAAAAAACAATTTGGACTGAAATGCAGAGAATGAAAAACAATACTATAGAAGCTGCTTGGCTTCAATAACTAAATATTTAATATCCAGGGAAAATCTCAGAAGCGCACACAGCTCATTTTGTTGCATCGATCACATGCATATGTAACGATTCTGTGCAACAATAATTCTGCTAAATAAGGATAATCCTTTAAATCAAGCTTGTATTGTCAGTATTGAGCTCATCTCATTTAAATTCTTTATCACACTGATCTATCATCTGCATGTTCTGCAGATAAATATCAAATGAGAGAGAGATTATGAATTATAGCAGACAAAGAAATCCAATTAAATTATACATGGTCTTTAGGCTTTGAATCTGATCATAAAATAGCACTATCACTGTAGGTAATCTGCTTTGACTGACTTGTAAGCTTGTGATGCATTTTATATGTCTTCCATAAAACACTTCTCTCTGTAAATGTTGTTTAAATCTTTGTGAGAACCACCACCGAATATTTCTTTTGCACAAGTCCTCTCTCAGACTCCCCTTGTTATTTAATTACTCATAGTTAATTGTGTGATTATATATTTTCACAGAACTATTTTTAGTCCAGTCCTTTTTGTTGCGTAAAAGTTTATTAATACAGTGGCTTTGATGCAAAATGCATAGTTTTTCTTGTGTCTGCCTCTTGTTTTGGATTCTATATTTTTGTCTCTGAGGTGTTCTGTTTTGAAGTTTTTGCACGTTCACTGCAAAAAACCTAACAGCGGTCATTAAAGCTGCATCTTCACCGCGGTGTTTTAACCTCAAGGTAGGCAATTAAGCAACTCTGTTTCCTAAGGAAGCTTTGGTAACTTCATGAAAATTCAAAGTCGTGTCACTGACAGCAAGCAAAATTAAATATTTCAATGTATGAAATAAAGTGCGAAAACAGGCAATACAGTTGACTGCAAGAGTTTGAGTCTTAATTAAGTTTTGCTGATTCACAAAGTCATACTTTGTAAATTAGGCTGATTTATAAGATTAAAAGTAAATTTTGAATATCATAACATTTTAGGCTGTATTAAAGATTGATCAGATTAACCAGTCTAATTTTTTAAAATACGCAGGGCTGCAATAAGCAAGATACAGACTTTCACACATCTCAGAAATATGGAGAGAGTCCTCCCCTCCGTTCTGAAAGTTTGGACTTGGAAATTTGTGCCTCTAATAATGTACAGACCCACCGATGGAAAAGCTATGTCAGATCTCATTTGGCAAATGTGTGTCCATGTCCCTTTTTGCACATTAACTCTTTCTTGGAAAGCACTTTTTTTAGACTTGAGGAACTTATTTTGTATTTTGCCATTTCCATCAGCCATTCCTAATATGAAACTTCGAAATGAGCATAAAAAATATTGATGGAAACTTTAAAAATGCATACAATGTTGCATAAAAGAAACTGCAAATAAGTAGATGAAAACTATTCAAATAATAAACAATAAAACTGACATTGTCCAACAATAAAAAAAAGAAACACCAAAGGGTTTATGTGCTTCATAATTCTCGCTAGAGCTGAACACAAAAGTTAATCAGTTGTTGATTTTCTTGATAATAATTTTATTTTAATAGTTTTACTATTAGACTTTAGAGAAAATGTAAACATTGAAATTGGAAATTTTTCTTAAATTGCTCATTCTTTTCCACACAACAATGACAAAACACTGAAAAATAGATAAATAAATAAATGTTTTGGTACAGTAGTCGCCACTAAATCCTGCAGGGACTGAGAAGAAGTCCCTCCCTGTTGTTTTGAGGGTCAGGCACCAGGGGACCGATGTTCAACAGAGGTCACAGCAGACAGCGGGTTATAAATATAGGAGGCAGCCTGATCTGGCCTATGACAAGGAAAGGGTGGCTCAGCTGTAATGGGTGATAAATGTCAGAGCCTCCCGACAGCTTCAGATGAGTGATCGTTAAGCAGCTTTCCTGAACCGCGGCGGCTGAAGCCCACAGTGAGGCTGACAAGCAGCAGAGGAAACATTTTCATGGGTAGAATGGTGAGTTTGGATGACCCTAGCTTCCTTTGAATCGCCATAGGCAAAGCGAGAGAGGTAATTAATCAGGTTGTTAGCATGTCTGATGGAGAGCAGAGGACCAAGAAGAGGGGAAATCTATAAGTGCTAAAAGAAAAGTGCAAAAGGTAAGAAAATGGAGAGGAGAGCTCTGCCGCTGTGATTCATTGAAGGTTGCTGAACCGCAGAGGAGCAATAATTTTTCGAGTTACAGGCCTTGATTGCAATAATGTCCCCATAGCAACTATTATCTTTAATGACTATTATTACGGCTGTCATAAAACGAGACTGGAGCCAGTCCTATTTAAAAGAATATATAGGTGCGTCTTTAAGTTTTTTTCACTGATAAAGAAAAAGAACTTTGTAAAATCTTGCCAATTTAAATGAAGATAACATTTAATACCTACCAATAACAGCTATATATAATACAATTATTTTGATACATTATGCTTTCTAAGCTCATTGATATCACTAATATAAGTTTACGATGTGTCTGCTAATTTGTTCAGACACATGTATTTGCCTTGAGACAAACACATCAACTAGAGATTTATTACCAATATCACACAATAGTTACTTACTTTTGGAGACTTTTCTGTTAAGCTCGCCGCCCCCTGACCCTGCACATCCATCCTCATCATCACAGTCACCGCTGTAATGTCCTTCTGAATCTCCACTTCCTGTTTCAATCTGGTCCAGTGATCCCAGTTTAGGGATGGTCTTTCCTTGCAACAACTGACAGTGGGGGGGAAAAAAAGACAGCATAAGAAAAATGATTAAAAATAAACAACTATTAAGATTAACAATTTTCACTCTGTATTTATGAGCTCACATTGCAGGCAGCGGGATGTGTATTCAAATTCAGATCAAAGCACTTTTTAATAGTAATGACAAAATAAAATATTTTTTTTTTGTTTCAAAAATAATAAAAAGACAAGAAAAAAACCAAGACAGAAACTCACACGCTTTCTCAGAAGATAGAAAAGCAATTAATTATTTTAGCTCAAAGTGTTTTGGCTTTTAAGCAACTGGCTGATTTTTGGTATTAAATGCTTTTTATTTGTAACAAACAAAACACAAAACTACACAAGCAATACATGTCTGAAGAACCAACAATGTGTTACAGTAAATACCCTGAACAACAGAACTATAAATGAATCCACAGTGTGATGCACATTGTTATTGGTCCCAGTGGCCCACAGGGCAGCTCGACGTTTTTGCTGTACTGCTGCGCTGTAGAATCTCAATCACACACTTGGTAAACTTGACATACCGGGGGAAATAAACACACTAATTGGCTCATTTAAATTCTTGTTGTATCATTGGAAACAAGAGAGAATGCCTTGTGTTGATCAGAAAAGGTAAGGACTATAGCAATTAGTCACCATTGTGGCTCAGAGTTGGCAGAGGCTGTGTGGCTGTAGCTAAACGGTGACCTGTTAGATGACGGACAGGCTGTCTCAAGCAGTCTGCTTCTGTATAGCTTCATTTCTAAATCAAAATGTTCAATGCATCTTGGAGAATATTGACTGTCTGCAATCCCCAGGTTTTGGATTTGCTTTTTTTAAAAGTAATAAGCAGCCTGAGTTTTAAGGTAATTGATTTATTTTTTCCCTGAGGTCAAAAAGTTGACTAACTGTGCAGGACATGTGCATAAAAAAGGCGAAAGAAGGAGCTGTGTTATTTCACACATTCACAGATGCATGTGTGAAAGTCGACTCTGAAGTATCATCGTCCTCTTAAAGGAACAAATATAAGAGAAGGAAACTCACAGGAGGGTTGCCTTGATGTCAGATCTGTCTCCTGTGAAACACTGATAGTCTTAAACAATTTCATCATGTCTGTTTGACCAAAAGGAGGTTTTCTGTTCTCAGTTTACATCTTGACGTCCATTTTTCTAATTAATTCATAATTAAAATAAGTACGCTAAAGATGTCATGCAAACAAGTTAGTTATTCATATCATTCTTTATAATGAAAGTAACTGAAACATAACAACCTTAACTTTTCAAAAAATATGTGGAAATCAATATTTTGTTTCTAACACTGCCAAAAGCAGATTCAACACAATCTCGGACATCTTTAAACAGAAAACTTTGTTCATCATCAATTTTCCTTCAGCAGGTTTTCTTTTGTTTTTAGAATACTTTATTTTTTATTTTTTAGTAACATCACAATTATGAACTGACAGGACAAAATTGGTTCAGGATCAAGCAAAAATCAAAGAATGAGACATATCTAAAGTAAAATATATTTACAATAATATAACGCAACAAGAAAAAGACAAGAAGGACTGGATGGGCGAGGGCAAAGTGTGGAGGAGAGCAATCAATAAGGATTAAATAAAAATGTATATGAATCAGAGATAGGGTGAGAGACCGATGGCATCAGTATCTCTCATAGATCTTGTTGAGTCCAGCTCAATTACAGAAGATCAATCAATCCAATGTGCAGGTAGGTTTAACATATACCTTAAAAATGTTTGCCATATTTTATGAAAAGTCAAATTAAACTTCTCTTTTAAATGAGGTAGTGATGTAAATACTTGAGTCTTAGAAGTTTTTAAACTCAGCTCAAAGACTTCACATACAGTAAATCATTTATTTAAATCGGGGGAAGAAAGCTGTGACCCAGTGGACAGCAAACCTGTTTCTGAATCAGCACTTGTGCAGAAGTATTTGACAGACAGTGGCAGCAAGTTTGGAAGCTGTTCAAGTCCATTTTCAACTTTACAAAGGTCCAGCTTGCTCATCCACACTGACAGAGGGCCATGCTCTAAGTGGAGCTCTGTGTCCATTAGTGAATAAGCACAAGTCCAGCCAGCTGCTATATTTGGAATCACTTTCATTTTTATCTGTCCAGATAAAATGCTTTGAGAAGATTTTTCTTCTAGCACAACCATGTCATTTTAACTTAAAATTCTTCATTTGTCCAGCTGTACTTACTTACCTAAGAGATGTCCGAGAGCATTCTGTAGTATATTTTCAAAAAATTAAAGTTGACGGAATTTCCTTAAAAGTGAGAGATAATGATATATAAACTAAGCTTAACTTTTCACCTCATTGTCACAGATTGGGGTGATCTAATCATAAAGTTACATTAAATGATTAGACCTAATCTGTTCTTCAGTAAATCCTGAAGTACAGGTGTGTGTTACAAGGAAAGTTTGACACTGTGGGTGTGTTTTTATTTTGTTTTGTTTTTGCTCATTAGCTGATTACTTTATTTGTGCCAAAGAGCAATGAATATGGAAAATGTAATAATATTTTCCAGCCACATTTTTGTCCCAAAGCTGCTGAAACATTTGTAACTTGTGATTAACCCTGTCAGTCAAGGCTCACAGTTATTTTTCTCCTTGGCAGGGGAAGTACCTCTTTAGTGTTTGGGTCGAGCAGCCACACTGTTCACGCAGACACACAGTGGAGTGTTACCTGACTGTTATTAGCCTCATCGCGTTGAATGACACAGGGTTTATGTGTAACCCTGGCTATGAGGCAGTTGCTTTGATTTGTTCTGACTCCAGACAGCCCCCAGCCCCTGAGCTAGCCTCTGGCTTTTACTGCAGTGTGTAGGGACTAGATAATGCCCAAATAAACCAATTACTCTGTTCATAAAAATAACCACGTATGTGCAGATAAAATTGATCTATACTTCACATTCTATATGATCCTCTGCCAATTGGGAATTTTCTGTTTCTTTTCAAATTAAGGCCTCAACATAGAGCTAACATGACTAGACATAATAATGAAGATTTTTTTCTGTACAATATATTTAGTGGTACACTTGGACAGGTCAACATTAGAGGATGTGCAACAGATAGTAACAAGTTTAGTCATGAACTGCCCTGAGCAGTAAAAAAAAAAAAAAAAAAAAAAGCATGGATTTAATGAAGAATGTTTCATCCCTGTGCCCTCGCATCACCTCATGTTCTGAGATATTCTGAGGACACACAGAAATTGTGGAAAGAAGATGACTGACAGAACATGCTTTGTGAATTTTGTCATGTAATTTGTCATGTCTGCTTTTAACTGTGAAAGAAAAGCTTCATCCTTTTGTCTATTTATTTCAATGAAGCTGATTCAATTAGATATTAGATAACCAGCTCTTAAACATCACTCAAAACTAAATTTTAGGATTTTCACATGATAACCACATATTCAATATCAACCAGAAAAATGGCATTACTTCCACTGGTGAGGTTTGAAGCCAGACTTATTGCTTTTAGTGCGATTCTGACTTTGACGAGAGGGAAAGTTGCAGTGGCAACAATTTACCTGTCAAGCATAATGCTAAGAAAAGGCTCAATGACACACAAGTAAAGAAACTCCTCTCTGTAAACTCCAGAAAAAAAAACTGTCTCACACAGCAAAACAATTCAAAGGAGGTTGATTGAAAATGCTGAAAAATACTGCAATTACTAAATGCGTCAGTCTTTTAGGTTGTCAGTGAGACCTTAACACTCTACATGTTCAAGTCAATGCCCAGTGGTTTGCACAAACACTAAATATATATTTGATTTATTCGGTAATTGCATCGTAAAATCTTATTTCGATATGCCAGTTGTGGGTTTCTGTAGTTTAGTGATGGGAATACAAAATAATAATGTCTAAGGTAAAGATTAATTCTTAAGAGTCAACCACTCTGCCAAATTCAACCTTCACTATGAAGCTATACAAGCTAGCTAAATTATTTAATCAGGATGCTTCACCTGAACACTTTTCTTGGACAGTATATTTGTCTAAAACAGATCATTACTGTCTTACCCACAACACAACAATGCAGTTTGAAGTTATTATGTTATCTTTTATAATTTGCAAATCAAGGACACATCAGTATTTCAATAATTGCTGTTAGACATAACAAGAAATACAGTAAAACATTTACTGACTACAATTATCGCCAACTGTTATGCCCCCAAGGTCTAGGAGTTCAGGGGCAAAAATGTGTCCAGAGAAAATAAGTGGAGTGTAAAATAATTTATTACAAAAAAGATGGTTTCACAAAACCAAAACACAAGACAATGTAACCCAATTAAAACAAAACAAAAAGGACTAACAAATTCAAGAATTTTTAGGTACAAATTGAATTACAAAATGTTCAATCAAGACAGTCTACAGTAAACTCAAAACGACCTAAAAGAAAGGACAAATGGAGCACCAAGCCTCCCAAACACAAGCTTCCAAGTCAAACCAGAGCAGTCAAACTGCTTAGCAGAACAAGCAAGAATAAAATGTCTCAAAACTCCCCAAAAGCCATTATAAGCACCAAAGGAGGGTGACAGCTGAACAAAACCTCTTCCTACAAGCTGCCCCCTCTGGAGGAATGACTTCAGGAGCCTTTTATAAGGTGCAGATGGGCCTCATCAGCATCTGATTGGCTTGACAATCCTCTGCTGGTCCAATGAGGTCGCTGCTCCTCTGCAGCCTTCATGCAGCCAATCAGGAAGGTGTGCCCTCACAGTTGAACCTGCATAAATAACAAAAAGAAGCCTGCACAGCCTCAAGAGGCCAGGGGCCATAGCACCAACCAATCACTAAAATAAAGCATTCCATTTTTCCAGGCTACAGTCTGCACTATTCACACTTTGCTCAAGTCAGGGGTTGAAAATGTTTTCATCTTCTTCCCCTCAAGGACATGCATCTTACCATACATCTGGTGCTTTTCTTTTGGAAGCCACTTTCATTATGATCAACCAGGTACATACAGGAGTTACATATTAATTTACTTTCTTATGTG